CTCGGTGGGACGCATGAGGGGGAAGGGGCTCAGTGGGACACATGTATGTTGCAGGCTCTCAGTGTAACGTACAGGTAGGGGAGGGACTGGTGTGACACATGAGCAAGGGAGTTTAGTGTGACACACAGGTGGAACAGAGCTCTACTGGCACGGGAGTGGAGAAGGGGCCTAGGTGACTCATACGTAGCAGGAAAAGCTCAGTGTCCAGTGTCATACCTGAGGCAGGAAGGGACTCGGTGTCACACATGAGCAGCAAATGATCCGTGTGACTCAATAATGGGGGAAGGACTCAGTGTGACAATGAGTGGGGAGATTCGGTGTGACGTGTGGAGGAGGGGCTCCATGTGACAAATGGGCAGGGGAGGGGCTCAGGGTACACATGAAAGGGTTGCGGGGCACAAAGCGACACAGTGAATGGAGGAGCAATGTGACACAAGCGCATTAAGGGTCTAAATATGACACATGAGTGGAGGAGGGGCTCTGTGTGAAACATGAGTGGAGGAGGCGTTCTGTGTGACACATGAGTGGAAGAGAGGCTCTGTGTGACACTGATTGGAGGAGGGGCTCTGTGTGACACAAGAGTGGAGGAGGGGGTCTGTGCGACACCTGAATGCAGGAGCGGCTCTGTGTGACACGTCAGTGCAGGAGGGGTTCTGTGTGACACCTGAGTGGAAGAGGGGGTCTGTGTGACACCTGAGTGCAGGAGGGGCTCTGTGTGACACACGAGTGGAGGAGGCGCTCTGTGTGACACATGAGTGGAAGAGGGGATCTGTGTGACACTGATTGGAGGAGGGGCTCTGTGTGACACATGAGTGCAGGAGGGGGTCTGTGTAACACCTGAGTGGAGGAGGGGGTCTGTGTGACACCTGAGTGGAGGAGGGGGTCTGTGTGACACATGAGTGAAGAAAGGGATCTGTGTGACTCTTGAGTGCAGGAGGGGCTCTGTGTGACACATGAGTGGAGGACGGGGTCTCTGTGACACCTGAGTGAAAGAGGGGGTCTGTGTGACATATGAGTGCAGGAGGGGGTCTGTGTGACACATGAGTGAAGGAGGGAATCTGTGTGACACGAGTGGAGGAGGGGCTCTGTGTGACACATGAGTAGAGGAGGGAGTCTGTGTGACACATGAGTGGAGGAGGGGCTCTGTGTGACACCTGAGTGGAGGAGGGGGTCTGTGGGACACCTGAGTGGAGGAGGGTGTCTGTGTGACACATGAAGGCAGGAGGGGCTCTGTGTGACACATGAGTGGAGGAGGGGGCCTGTGTGACACCTGAGTGGAGGAGGGGGTCTGTGTGACACCTGAGTGCAGGAGGGGCTCTGTGTGACACATTAGTGAAAGAGGGGGTCTCTGTGACACTGATGGGAGGAGGGGCTCTGTGTGACACATGAGTGCAGGACGGGTTCTGTGTGACACATGAGTGCAGAAGTGGGTCGGTGTGACACATGACTGCATGGGGAGGTCTGTGTGACACATGAGTTCAGGAGGGCATCTGTGTGACACTGAGTGGAGGAGGGGCTATGTGTGACACGTGAGTGGAGGAGGGGGTCTGTGTCACACATGAGTGCATGAGATATTCTGTGTAACACATGAGTGCAGGAGGGGGTCTATTTGACACTGAATGGAGGAGGGGGTCTGTGTGACACATGAGTGGTGGATGGGGTTCTGTGTGACACCTGAGTGGAGGAGTGGGTCTGTGTGACACTTGAGTGGAGGAGGGTGTTCGGTGTGACACCTGAGTGGAGGAGGGGGTCTGTGTGACACATGAGTGCAGGAGTGGGTCTGTGTGACACCCGAGTGAAAGACGCGGTCTCTGTGACTCATGAGGCGAGAGGGGGTCTGTGTGACACCTGAGTGAAGGAGGGGGTCGTCGTGACACCTGAGTGGAGGAGGGGGTCTTCATGACACCTGAGTGGAGGAGGGTGTTGGTGTGACACCTGAGTGGAGGAGGGGGTCTCTGTGACACCTGAGTGCAGGAGGGGGTCTGTGTGACACCTGAGTGCAGGAGGGGGTCTGTGTGACACCTGAGTGCAGGAGGGGGTCTGTGTGACACCTGAGTGGAGGAGGGGGTCTTCATGACACCTGAGTGGAGGAGGGTGTTGGTGTGACACCTGATTGGAGGATGGGGTCTGCGTGACACCTGAGTGAAGGAGGGGTCTGCATGACGTCTGAGTGCAGGAGGGTGTCTCTGTGACACCTGAGTGGAGGAGTGGGTCTTTGTGACATCCGAGTGCAGGAGCGGATGTGTGTGAGAAATGAGTGCAGGAGGGTGTGTGTGTGACACATGAGTGTAGGAGCGGGTCTGTGTGAGACCTGAGTAAAGGAGGGAATCTGTGTGACAAATGAGTGCAGGAAGGTGTCTGTGTGACACATGAGTGCAGGAGGGCATCTGTGTGACACCTGAGTGGAGGAGGGTGTCTGTGTGACATCTCAGTGGAGGAGTGGGTCTCGTGACACCTGATTGGAGGATGGGGCCTGCGTGACACCTGAGTGGAGGAGAGGGTCTGTGTAACACCTGAGTGCAGGAGGGTGTCTGTGTGACACCAGAGTGTAGGAGGGCCTCTGTGTGACAACTGAGTGGAGGAGGGCGTGTGTGTGACACGAGTGGAGGAGGTGATCTGTGTGACAACTGAGTGTGGGAGGGGATCTGTTTGACACCTGAGTGGAGAAGGGGGTCTGTGTGACACCTGAGTTGACGAGGGGGTCTGTGTTACACCTGACGGGAGGAGGGGGTTCTGTGACACATGTGTGGAGTAGGGGGACTGTGTGACACATGAGGGTAGGAAGCGGTCTGTGTGACACCGGAGAGTAGGAGTCGGTCTATGTGAAGACTGAGTAAAGGAAGGGGTCTGTGTAACACCTGAGTGGAGGAAGGGGTCTGTGTGACTCATGAGTGGAGGAGAGGGTCTGTGTGACACATGAGTGAATGAGGGGCTCTGTGTGACACCTGAGTGGAGGACGGGGTCTGTTTGACACCTGAGTGCAGAAGGGAGTCTGTGTGACACCTGAGTGCAGGAGTGGGTCTGTGTCACACCTGAGTGGAGGAGGGGTTCTGTGTGACACGTAAGAGGAGGACGGTGTCTGTTTGACCCCTGAGTGGAGGAGGGGTGTCTGTGTTACACCTGAGTGGAGGAGTGGGTCTGTGTGACACATGAGTATAGGAAGGGGTCTGTGTCACACATGAGTGGAGAAGGGGTTCTGTGTGACACCTGAGTTGAGGAGGGGGTCTGTGTGACACATGAGTGGAGCAGTGGGTCTGTGTGACACCTGAGTAGAGGAGGGGGTCTGTGTGACACCTGAGTGGATGAGGGGCTCTGAGTGACACATGAGTGAAGGAGGGGGTCTGTGTGACACGTGAGTGGAGAAGGGGGTCTGTGTGACACCTGAGTGAAGGAGGGGTCTGTGTGACACATGAGTGCAGGAGGGCGTTCTGTGTGACACATGAGTGGAGAAGGGGATCTATGTGACACTTGAGTTCACAAGGGGGTCTGTGTGACACATAAGTGGAGCAGGGCGTCTGTGTGACACCTGAGTAGAGTGGGGGTCTCTCTGACACCTGAGTGGAGGAGGGGGTCTGTGTGACACATGGGTGGAGTAGGAGGTTGTCTGTGTGACACCTGAGTTCAGGAATAGGTCTGTGTGACACATGGGTACAGGAGGGGGTCTGTGTGACACCTCAGTGGAGGAGGTGGTCTGTGTGACACCTGAGTGGAGGAGGGGGCCTCTGTGACACCTGAGTGGAGGAAGGGGTCTGTTTGACACCTGAGTAGAGAAGGGGGTCTGTGTGACACCTGAGTGTAGGAAGGGGTCTGTGTGACACCTGAGTGCAGGAGGGAGTCTGTGTGACACATGAGTGCAGGAGTGGGTCTGTGTCACACCTGTGTGGAGGAGGGGGTCTGTGTGACACCTGAGTGGAGGAGGGGTTCTGTGTGACACCTGAGTGGAGGACGGGGTCTGTTTGAAACCTGAGTGGAGGTGGGGGTCTGTGTTACACCTGAGTGGAGGAGGGGTGTCTGTGTTACATCTGAGTTGAGAAGGGGTCTGTGTTACACCTGACTGGAGGACGGGGTCTGTGTGACACATGAGTATAGGAAGGGGTCTGTGTCACACATGAGTGGAGGAGGGGGAATGTGTGACACATGAGTGTAGCAGGGGGTCTGTGTGACAAGTGAGTGGAGGCGGGGATCTCTGTGACATCTGAGTGGAGGAGTGTGTCTGTGTAACACCTGAGTGAAGGAGGGGGTCTGTGTGACACCTGAGTGCAGGTGAGGTTCAGTGTGACAACTGAGTGGAGGAGAGGGTCTGTGTGACACCTGAGTGTAGGAAGGGGTCTATGTGACACCTAAGTGAAGGAGAGGGTCTGTGTGACATCTGAGTGTAGGAGGGTGTCTGTGTGACACCAGAGTGAAGGAGGGGGTCAGTGTGACACCTGAGTGTACGAGGCGGTCTGTGTGACACCTGAGTGTAGGAGCAGGTCAGTGTGACACCTGAGTGGAGGAGGGGGTCTCTGTGACCCCTGAGTGAAGGAAGGGTTCTGTGTGACACCTGAGTGCAGGAGTGGGTCTGTGTGTCACATGAGTGCAAGTGGGGGTCTGTGTGACACCTGAGTGGAAGAGGGGGTCTGTATGACACCTGAGTTCAAGAGTGGGTCTGTGTGACACCTGAGTGGAGGAGGGGGTCTCTGTTACACATGAGTGCAGGAGGGGATCTGTATGACACCTGAGTGTAGCAGGGGGTCTCTGTGACACCTGAGTGGAGGAGGGCGTCTGTGTGACACCTGAGTGAAGGAGGGGGTCTTTGTGACACCTGAGTGCAGGAGTGGGTTTGTGTGACACCTGAGTTGAGGGGGTCTGTGCGACACCTGAGTCGAGGTGGTGGTGTGTGTGACACCTGAGTGGAGGAGGGGGTGTGTGTGACACATGTGTGTAGGAGGGTGTCTGTGTGACACCTGAGTGGAGGAGGGGGTTGTGTGACACCTGAGTGGAGGAGGGGGTGTGTATGACACATGTGTGTAGGAGGGTGTCTGTGTGACACCTGAGTGCAGGAGGGGGTCTGTGTGACACCTGAGTGGGGATAGGCATAGCTGTTGCATGAACCTAGCAGTGCTTTTCAGCCTCCAACTGCCATGAAGTGCAGCCCCACCCTGCGAGATGATGGACATTCTCAGGTCAAAGCGGAAACCCATGGGACCACCTCATACCTACAGACCCCCAGGCAGTATGCACATGCCACACCAATTCTGGTTCAGATTCAGAGTCTAACAGGCAATTTAAGGATCGTCAACGTTACAGAAGTTCCTTCTCCAAGGGGAGAACTCCAAATAACCAAACCTAAAACATCTGATGACTGACACCCAAGGTCCCCTAAAACTGAGTCCACTCCAGGACTTGCAGAGGACCTTGAAGACATCCGCCATCACTCCCCACAAGCCGGTGCCCCTCCCCCAGCACATCCACAGGGTCCTGGTGGACACTAGAGGGTCCCAGTTTCTGACCCTCAAGACCTGGAAAATGCCCAGATGGATATCTGACAACCACCACCTGGCCAAGCAAAGACATTCAAGTCAATAGACCAAACCATCCTTGACCACCATGATGTGAGAGAACAGAAGTGCATTGTAACAGACCAAACTACAAGGACACAGCTCAGAATCTTACAATGAAATAAATTTTGCTTTACAAGAAATTCACTGCCTTGTCCACCATTGTCTGGTTTTACCCTAACCCTAACCCTCCATCACAGACTTGGCTGCCCCTCCCTGACCCCTTGTGACCCCCCGTCCTCCAATGTGGTCTAACTCTGCCTTGAAGCCACTCCAAGGCTGAGAAGTCCAATCTTCCCCACCACCCACCTCCTTTCTCTTACGTCATCAATTCATTCGTTCATTCATTCGTTCTTTCATTCATTTCAACTTTGGTGGAAAGAGCACAAAATTTAGTCCTTAACCCTCCCTCCAAGTCCTGACATGTGACACTCAGGGACCCAGTCTGAGCATCAGTTTACCATCTAAAACGTGGAAATATGTGACCAACATCGAAGGATCTGGGCAGGACTGGGTGATCCCCAACAAAGGGGACAGCAAGGAGGCTGAGTCAGAGAACAGGGTGCACAGTGCAAGGAGCCCAGGCTGCCAGAGGGGCTGGACTTGTGCCAGGGGCCTGGGAGCAAGGACCCTGCAGGCAGGCTGGGAGGGCCTGGGCTCCTGGTGCCAGTTTTGAGATGCCGGCCACCAGCAGGGAAGAAAGTGGGCACAGGTAGGCTCCCCTTGCAGAACTCACTCAGCAGGACCTGGGCTGAACGTCCCCACCGCCATGCAGTCAGACCCGCCCTTCTCTGCACCACGTCCCCAAGCCGCCCTGGCCCAGGCTCTGTGCCATCCGCCGGCTCTCGTGCGTCTCCCCGAGGTGTGCACTCCCACGGGCCACGTCCATTTACTTGCTGCCTGGCACAGGGCCTGGCACACAGTAGACCTTCACCGAATGTGCAAACGAATGAATGAAAGCCTACCATGTACAAGGCCCTGGGGGCCAGAGTGAGCCCCGAAGCGAGGATGATGGAGGTGAGGCAGAGGATGGATGGGTGATGGCCAGGTCCACAGTGACAGAGGTGAGATGCTGCGCTCAGGATGACAGAGGCCAGGTGGAGGTGATGGGAGCCCGAGATGGCCAGCCCACGGGGAAGGATGGGCCAGGCCCCGGGACCCGGTAGTTGCAGGGTATGGTGAAGTGGTGATGATGGGTGCCAGGATGATGGAGCCCACAGTGACAGACATGCGTGAGATGGACCCCAAAGACTAGAGGTGGGTGGAGGAGGAACCCAGGACCCCACGAACTGGGTGTGGAAATCTCTGAGGCTCAAGACCTGGGCGTCCTGCTCTACACCCCCGCCCACTTGCATTAACAGAATACCCATCGTGTGCAAAGCTCAGAGAGCAACTACCAAGCTGACAGCCTTGCCAGTGAGGAACAGTGGATGCCCTAGACTGGGGGTCAGCAAACATTTTTGCTTGCAGACACCATTAAGGAATTTTGCAAAGCCATCCCGCCTTCCCCCAGCCCCTTTTTAAATTGGCACCAAAGCTTTCATGCCAAGCTTACAGAGTTGCAATGATATAACCTCCTGGGTATCGCATACTAGATGTGTAACATGTAGATATATATCTGTCAAAAGCACAGAGCTCATTGGACTCATCCACTCTCAACCTCGCTGGCAAACCAATCGGACAAAACAGACTTTCATCAGCGAGCCTGTCACTTTTAGCACTTTTCACTCCAGGCCAATGCGTTCTATGCATCGCGACGACAAACGTTGCCCCTCTGGGTTCTGAGTCTCAGGTAGGCGCGTCACCTGGGTGAGAAGCGGGTGGGGCACCGTGGGGCAGGCGGGAACTGACCTGGATGGTGCAGCATCTGGGCTGAGTGCCATGGGGGCGCAGGCATACTCCGGGTCCGAGGCTCTGTGGAGGGCACAGTGCAGCTGCCAAGGTCTGGCTCCAGAGGTCCCGGCCAGCGCCCGTGGGTGGCAGCCGCTCCCAGGCGGTGGCCAGGGAGGCTGGGCAGGCTGCGGAGACCGGCACAAGACCCAGTGCACCTTGCTCAAGCCATCCTTGTCCCTCCATCCAGGAAGTGGCTGAACGTGTCCTGCGAGCTGCCGGGGAAGCTGGGGTCTGGGACCTGGCGTGGGGGAGCTGAGCAGAACCCCAGGTGGGTGGGGAGGAGGTGGGGGGCTGCGGCAGGGAAGGCACGACTCCGGGACACTGGGCAGAGCTGGTGAGTGGGTGTGTCAGCAACTCACCGGCGCAAGGTCCCCCCCACCTGTGGGCGCATCGCCAAGGAGAGGCAATGTGGGGGGGGGGGTCACAGAAGGGTAAGGGGTGAGGGCCAAGGCTGCCACTTTTCTACTTGCTGTGGCTGCAGTGGACGCACAGACAGGCTGGTGGAAAGCTACGGGGGGCACGTGGCAGGGGTGGCTGCGGGGAGTGGGTCTAGAGGAGAGTGGACGTGGAATCCACAGTCAGGGCGTCTGGCATTAGGGAGAGACCCACTGTCTCTCATCTCCAGTCACTCTCCACCCTGTGTCTCTCTTTCATACGCATGCACGTGTGCACGCGCACACACTCGCACATGCGCACACACACCCAGGCGCACACACCCGTGCACACCCAGGCACACACAGGCAGGCTCAGGCTCACATCTGTCCCCACCCCGGGCCAGGACCCCCTGCATCCTGAGCACCGTCCCCCAGGGCTGGGACAGCACTTGAGCCTAACCTGGGGCAGCCACGCGACACCAACCGGGCACCTATCTGGCACTGGGGGCAGTGCAGGAGCTGCGGTGAAGGGATGCAGACTAATCCCTGGATCAGGGGTCCCAGGTTGCAGAAACCTCCAGAAGCAGCACCCGTGCAAGGTGGCAGGAGCCCAGGCTGCATGGGAGGTTTGATAAGACCCTTTGGAGTCACAGTCAATTCTAAAGAGGCAAGTTCCAGCCTGGGTAATTAATCCCAGACGGCCAAGCAGGGGTGCCCTGGGCGCTTTCTTCCTAGCAGAGTGGCCTCTGATTGCTGTGCACTGAGGCCCCGGCCAGGACATCGCAGAAAAGGCCGCTCCTGGCCCCATCGCCCCTACGGACATGTGAGTATCCTGTCTCTGAGCCCAAGGTCTCCACCGTGACATGGGGGGGCCCGAGGAGCACCCAGCCCCTGACAGGCACACATCCATCCACTCCTTCCACCATCAGCCACCACCAAGCAAACAGATAAAGTGCTTTGTGAAGTGCAGGTATATAGGTAACATTCCACAACGCCCTGCCAGCCCCTCCGGACCCTCACCCAGCCCCCCCGAGGGCAACTCGGAGTCCAGGGGAGCTCTGGCCTCGGAGCCTCCTCAGCCGCAGAAGACAGCTCCGGGACTGTGGGCTGTCTGGGAAGCACAAAGCTATCAAGTTAGCCTAAAAAATGTCTCCCTGGAGTAGGGACTCCCCCTCGTTGCTGTCGCATTTGGCTGGAATTTGGCCCGACTCTAGACCACTTGGCTGTTGTGTTACCCCTTACTGCCTGCCATCTGTCCTCCCAACCCACCTCCACCCACCCCCTGGGCGGGCCCAGCCTCTGCAGAGAGTTTTGGCCACTACTGGGACTGGCTTCCCCAGAGACCCGACATGACGGCTGAGTGCAGGAGTAGGGGCAGAGCACAAACTGTCTCCTGAGATGTACAGGGAGGGCCCCATGGGAGAATACCCCTCCACGTGAAGGGAGCTGGAGAGAAAGCTTTCCACGGGCCGCCTGCCCCTGCCTCGCTCCGGCTGCCAGCTCCAAAACGATGGCCACCAGTGTGGATAAGTGGGGAAGATTACAATCTGCTGGGAGAAAACTGCAGCCCAAGGCATCTTCATTCCCTGCTTCCTCTAGGAGCTGAGCTGGGAGTGTCTGTGAAATCTGAGGCATGGCCCGACCCCTCCTGGGAAGGAAGAAGGCCATGATTTTCCTCTCCCTCAGTACTCGTCTGCCTCTTTGCCACGAAGCCGTTTCACCCAGTGGCCACTTCTGACAAAGCGGGAGTGGGAAATCCCACCAGAGAATGTCCCTCCAAAAAGCGGGAGGAGGACAGCGTGAGTGATGGGGAAACTAAAGCCCCGAGGGAGAGTCAGAGGCCAACAGTGGCCGGGCCTGGCTCCCTAGACTCCCGGACGGGGGTCCTCCTGTGCCATCCCCCCCACCCCCCAACCCCGAGCATCCTCATTCCCTCTGGCCTGGTCTTCCAGGATGGCGCTGGGGCTGGGCTCTTGGAGAACGGGTACACAGTCACTCCGGCGCCAAGCCTTCCTACTTCTCTCGATGGGTCTTTGTGGGCAATCCACTCAGCCTTCTGGGCTCTTCCTGAATCTCAGTACCATCAGAGGCTGCCTGGGGTAGGGAACGTTGACCTCCAGAGAGGTCTGGTCTTAATGGACATTGAGTAACCAATCTTTCTCCCAGCCTCAGTGTCCTCATCTGTAAAGTGGGAGCTGACTGGGAGACCACGACGGCCGGCCATCCAGCCCTGCCCAAAGGGCAGCCCTCTACACTGAGACCACAGCAGCAGTAGCACCTGGAATTTGGTCTTTTGCACTTGGAGGGCAGGGGCTGAATCAAATTCATCTCTTCCTCCAGAGTCTCAGCACAATACCTAGCACACTCCAGAAAATCTTAAGAGTTCGGCAACCTTCCCGGGAGGGGCTGTATCATAATCTCTGACCTCTGTTAAGTCAGGAGATCCAGAAGTTCCATCTGTCCTTATTTCCACTACTGTGGTTCTACTTTGAGCCTCGCCCCCTGAAGCTGATGGTGTCATGGAGTGGTTTCACATTTTCTTCACAAACATTACAAGCCCGCTGGCTCACCCATTTTTCATTTGGCTTCAGAATTTGTTGTGGAAACTTCTAGGAAATCAGCAACGGGTGATTCTAATAATTGCTTGTTCTTGGAAATCTCCTAAAATAACTTGGCCAAATGAGAGTGTGGGGGGTGGGAGGGGGGAGGGGGGCAGGGCAGTCCTCTAAGAGGACATTTCTCCTCCATTCCATCCCAGGTCTCGAGTTCCAGTTACTCATAAAAGAAGTTTTTGTGTGCATAGTTTCAAATTCGAATGAATTTCCAGGAAATATCACCAAAATGATGTTGGCATCGTTAGGATGTGTTTTTCAGGAACGCTTGCTAGCTGCTCCCTTTTCCTGCAGACTCCAACTGCAGAAAATAAGTCCGTTTCTGGGATATATTATTGTAGCTATGTCTGAATGGCATAAATGATGATATCAGATCCTCAGAACCTCCCAGTCTAAAGATTTCAAAGTCAGCACATCCAGGCTCACGCTCAGCGTTCTCTCCTCCCAATGTTGACACTTTTCATCACTTCAACTGTGTCAACCCACGACGTTCTTACGGTTTCTGAACAAGGCGATGTTTTCAGCCTTATTTCATTCGTTGCCATCTCTCTCCAGTTTAGTGGACAGTCTGGTGTCAACCCAATGTCTGAAGGGCCACAGTGACCTTCAAGGTGCTCGGGGCAGGGTCCCAGCCCAGAATGCAGCTGCATCTGGGAAGCTGCCATCGTGTCCCTGTGTACTGGGGGGCCTCCTTTGCCGTCCATGCCATCTGCACCACCCATCGCGATGGCCTGGCCCCGTCTCAGTCCCAACCTCAGTGAACTTCCGTTGCTGGAAAGAGGCAATCAGATCTGACCAGCCCCGAGGTGTGGCTTCATGCCGGGCTGGTGAGTGGGTGTTTAGCACCTTCCCCTGGGAGAGGAGCTAAGCCGCAGAAACGAGCTTGGGTTACATTCCAGGGTCCAGCCAACTTGGCAGCCCCGTGGGTCAAGTCTGGTGTGCAGCCAGCCGTGAGTCCGGCACAACTAAAAGGCATAAAACGGCATTTTGCTGCCGAGATACGCACTCACGGGCAGGCTCCGTCAGCAGGGCCCTGCCCGCAATCCATGACTTCCGCTGTCAGGCTCTTCCTAACACGCTTCCTCCGGCCAGCAGCCCCTGCTCCACGTCTCTCCTTATGTATCTGGAACCCAGCTTCCTGCGGGCTTCAGTACCTCCAGTGTCGCTAGTGAAGAGAGCTGCAGGCCATGCGTGGAGAGCAGAGTCTCCTCTGCCACCTCCCGTCAAGTCAAACCTTGGCCACACCCAGTCGTGCCCAGGCAAGCCCATGGCCTTGAGGCTTTCTCAGCAGTTCTGCACGTCTGAGCTTCATCAGAGGCTGGAGCTGGGGTCTCAGTTCTGAAATATCAAGGGGGCCCTCATTCTGGAGGCTCAAGGTTCACTGGAGGCCAGAGCTGGAGTCTCAGTTCTGGAACATCAGTGGGGCCCCTCATCGTGGGCATCTGAGCTTCATCAGAGGCTGGAGCTGGGGTCTCCGCTCTGGAACATCAAGGGAACTTTCATTTGGACACACAGGCTTCATCAGAGGCTGGGGGCCCACCGCATGCAGGACTCTCCCGGACTCTCGGCTGCCCCCTGGCTGGCCATGGACTCATCCAGCTGAGCACACTTGGAGGCTGTCTTCTTCTCATCTCAGTGCGGCCTGGACCCTCACTCAGCACCATCCGTGTCTCCATCTTGATCAGGGACTGGGCTCAGGTCTCCTTGGCTGAGATGTGCCCACGGTCCCCCGAGGTGGTTCTTTCTTTCTGCAAAGGAGCCATGCTCAGCCCCGTGCAGTCATGGCTGGACTTGCCTGTAGTTCCCTTGAGGCACCTCCCTGTGGGGAGGGGAGAGGAGGAGGGAGGAAGGGGGGAGGGAGAAGGAGGAAGGTGGAAAAAGAAAGAGGAGGAGGTGGCCATAGTGGTGGTGGTTGTCACGGCTTTGGCGTTGACCATGGCATTGACGGTGGCAGTGGCAGCGGTCAGCCTCTCTCTCCCACTGGTTGCGTGTCCAGCTCATCTGCTCCGGCAAAGCCAGGTGCGCTGACCCCAGGACTCCTCATGGACTCAAGTCCGAAGCTCCCTTGCCCTTGCTCCCCTCTGTCCCCATTCGGCCCCAGCCACACACTGCTGGCCAACGGCCTGAGCTTCCTTGAGCTGGGCGGCACCCGGCCAGTGGGGCAGGGGCTGCATCTTGGGCTCTACCTCTGCGGTCCCTCAGGGCCTGCTCAGTAGCCAACATGTGGAATGAGTGTTGGCCCCAGGTCGCAGCCAGGCTGGAGCGGAACAGCTCGGCCGTCCGCTCCCCTTTAGTTTAAGCAAGATGACTGCTCTACCAGGCCCCCACCAGGGCCCTGGGAATATGTGAGGAGCGGGGCGGGGGCGGGAAGAGTCGCGGCTCTGGGGGCGGCCCCTCCGGGGCTCCAGGGACCAGCGCGGACTTCCTCCACCTCCTGTCTGTATTCCTTTCTGGAAAGAAGCCTGGCTTCCTAAAACCATTAGAAGAAGGGGGACCTGCCCAGGTTAGTTCATCCAAACGTGCATCCACCTCAGGATCCCCCCAGGCCAGCTCTGCTTCTGGTCATCCCATCACCCTTGAGTATCCAGTGGGCAGGGGACAGGTGGCTTCCTGGGACTGGAGCTGGCTCCCCTGCCCCTCCCATCAGACGGGCCCGAGAGGAGGAGAAGCCCCCAGCCAGATAGCATCCCGACGTTCACCCCTCCTCAGATTAGTAGCACAT